TTTTCTTCCTTTCGTGTCTTGCCTGGATTGGGACAGAATCCGCCCTACAGCCACGTTCACACCGGTGGTGCACAAATAAGAGACGTTGTTTATCGTCAGTTCGGGATTGAGTGTCGTGTGTAACCAAGTGCAACTGCCTGTGCAGCCACATCTATATCAGTGGAGCGTGTGTAAAAAGGGACTAAATAAAAGAAAGTACTTTTGCAACCGTTACAAGTCCACCTCTCCCTCTCGCTAAACTAACGTCAGGGGATCAGAACCCTGGGGCTATAGCCACAGCCTGGCTCGCGCCCCGCACACCTACCAACACAGCACACAGCTCCTGAAGCGTTCAAAGCTGTGTAGGCAATTCATAAAGGAGAAGGTGAATTTAAAGCTGATTTTGATGTCTAAATGTCTATGGCGAGTTCTTGAAATAGTTTGTCTTATTTCTTTCTTGTTCTATAATTAATGAATTTGACAAAATTTTAATTATTAATAGCTACGCTATTTCTTAGTAGTTGCAATTAAGATATGATTTCTTTGCTGTTTCTAACATATGTCTCTTTCTCATCTGTGGTGTATTGTTTAAGCCATCTATTTTCTGTAATTTGATGAAAGTTCTCTGCTGCATGTGACCTCTCCTTTGTTGAATTTCAAAGAGGCTTTTTTTTTAAATCAGTTTTCTACTCTCCAAAACAGAAAATAAAACCCAAAACAGCAGCAAGTAAATCACCATCATAAGTATTTTAAATCTATACCCAGAATTAGCGCTAGGATAGGTCATACTTGATTCATTTTATCAGGATGGTCAGCTTTTCCAGAATGTCATAACAGAATACAAGAGGCATGGATTTCTTAGGGTGATATCTTTTATTGGACCAACTGGTTAACTCGAATCAAGTTAGACAAGCTTTCAAATGCAAGACATTCTCCCTCAGATGTGATCCTGAGGATGAATGCCTTGCATTCGAAAGCCTGTCTCACTTTAAGAGATATCACCCAAACAAATCCTCGCCACTTGCATAATTTCTGGACCATCACGGCTACAACAATCACCCTTACACTACTATAACACAATACCTAATTCAAAGGTGGTTCCATGTGCTGTCATACTCCAAGTGCTTGATCTTCGACCTTTAGTTACCATCACAGAGAATTCATACAAGGTGTTAGGTTTTAACCCAGTCACTAAATAGCTCAAAGTGGTCGTGTTTGCAGTCTGAAAGAAAAGAAAAGCATCAGGAACTTCTGAACTGGACAAGAGCTATCACAAGCTCTCAAACACGCTCTTGTCTAAGGCAAGTGTTTAAAAGCAGCATTATTACATTGCTCCAATAACATTTTGATAACCACAGCCATTAATTCGCTCATTTTCTTTGCCCTGTTGTGCAAATTCATGAATCAAGAATTAATGGAACATTTACACTACCCAAAACTAGAAATCCCTTTTGCAATCAGTAAGAGCTTTCAACAATAGTCAATTATATATTTAAAAACAACAGTACAAGGTCTAGGGCACACTTGTTATGCAGCAAGACTTCTAGCTGTTTACTGGTGGCATTTAATTTACAGCATTTCATTAAATGTTTCCCTAGTTTCAGAAAAGAATGATAATAAGGAGCCAAAAGTAAAAGTCTATTTTGCAACTTGAGTGTTCTTCCAGATTCCTGCGAGAAAGCTAAGCTGAAACCTATCTAGAGTTCAAAAACACTGGAAAGTTTAAGTGCTTAGAGATGCCAGGACAACGAAGGTTTACACCGATTTTTAAAAAGAAAGATTATCTGTTGGAAAGCAATCCTAAATTACATGCGGCCTCTAGCACAGGTAATCAGAAATACAATTCATATTTCAGTCATCTAAGCACTGTTCGCTGCCTGTAGGCCAAATTTTCTGGCATTTGCTGTGTCTTGAGGATGAACAGATGATAACTGGTGCATAAATAAAAAAATGTAGTACATCTGATCCCTTATTTGGACCTATCCCTTATCCTAACAGAGAGAAGTGGTCGGTAACTTCTAAAATGGATAAGGATATATGTAAGTTTTTATTAATTAAGACTTACATTCTTCACAAAATTATACTTATAGGTAGCTCTTCCTTTTTCTAAAAGAAAGATTATCTATAAATTCATTTCCCTGAAAACAATACAAGAATGCTGTCTATGTAAAAAAAGTAAAGTACTGTTAAGCCAAGAATATTCTAAGTTATGATGTAAAGCATATAATTAGCTGCTATTAAAGTACCCTAATAAACAACCAGGAAATCAGGTTTGCCAAATTAAACTAAAAGTCATACAAAGTAGTGTGTATGTATGTCCAGAAAAATGAAAAGATGTTGTTTTCATTTAACTAGTTAGGCTTCACAAAGGTTGGTATGAAGGTGAGGAAGAACAGAGACAGGGCAATATAATATAAAAACCCTGCTATCCTAGGTTTGTAAAATGAATATAAAGATCAACCTAGTTTTAAGAAATGTTGCTTTGTGGTAAGTGATAAGTTATTCCAGCCTAAAATTCAAGAGTTGTTTTATCTGCATAAATAGTGCTGCTAGAAAAAGTAACCTGCTTACAGTAATTATGCTAACAATACTTTAGCTGTCCCCAGTATTCACACTCTACTCAAACTGTCACAGCTAAGATGGGCCGGTCACCTTTCAAGAATGCCTGACACCCTCCTGCTGAAGAAAATCTTCTACGACTAACTGTCAAATGTAGTACGCTCTTGCGGTGCACCAAAGAAGCGGTACAAGGATGTCCCTAAAGGTAACCTGAAAACATTTTGGCATTGACCCAAAGTCATGGGAGCAAATCGCTCGTGACCGTCCATCCTGGAGGTCATCAATGCAGAACAGAGCACTGGCCTTTGAACAGCAACGCACAGCAGAGGCATTGAAGAAATGAGTGGCCAGGAAAGCCAAAGATCTCTTGCACCAGTCCTCATTGCTTTCCTGCCCCTGCTGCAGCAGATTGTTCAAGGCAAAGATCGGGTTTATAAGTCACCTGTTCAATATCTTTATCAGTGACCTGGATGAGGGCATGGAGAGCACTCTGGCCAAATTCATGCACGACACCAAATTATGGGGCAAGGTAAGTACACTGGAGGGCAGGGAGCAGATTCAGGAGGATTTGGACAGGTTGGGAATGTGGGCAGAACAGAATAGGATGCAGTTTAACAAAGGTAAGTGCAAAGTGCTGCATCTAGGGAGAAAGAATCATCAACACACCTGCAAGCTGGGTGGTGACTTCCTAAGCAGCACAGCAACAGAAAGGGATCTCGGAGTCATAGTCGACTCCAAAATAAACATGAGTTGTCAATGTGACAAAGTGGTAAGTAAAGCTAACAGCACTCTATCACACATTAGAAGAAGCATCATGAACAGGTCTAAGGAGGTGATATTTCCCCTTTATGCAGCATTGGTAAGGCTGCAGCTGGAGAACTGTGTTCAGTTCTGGGCACCGCACTTCAAGAGGGATGTGGAAAACCTTGAGAGGGTCCAGAGAAGGGCTACTCATATGGTTAAAGCCCTGCAGGTAAGATCCTGCGAGGAGAGATTGAAGGACCTGAATCTCTTCAGCCTCTGCAAAAGAAGGCTGAGAGGGGATCTTGTGGCTGTCTACAAATTTATTGGGGGGGTGAGAAACAAGCAGCAAGGAACGGGGGATACTCTGTTTACCAGGGCGCCCCTTGGGGTTACTAGGAACAATAGCCATAAACTGACAGAGAGCAGATTTAGATTAGACATTAGGAAAAATATCTTTACAGTGAGGGTTGCCAAAATGTAGAATGGGCTTCCAAGGCTGTCAGCGAATCAGAGTGCAAATAAAGTGTTATGGACAGACAGACAGACAAAGGCTTTTATAATATTAGAATACCTCACCTCCCACCATATACACCATTACCCAGCTAGGCTTGTCAGGATTTAATTTTTTGGTAAATGTTATTAAATATTGATTTCACCTCAGACTTAAAAAAAAATTTCCATCGTTAATAATCAAGATTTATAGAAAGAGAATGTAAGAAAAACAATGGCTGATGGGGAACTGTGTTAACTGTAGGTTGGACTGCAACACCCAGAAGCCCCAGGGGACTGGGAACAAAGGAAGAGGAAGTGACAAAGTGGACAAGGGAGTTATGGGTGAGCGGAGCGGGAACTTATGGCAGTTTTACCGCTCAGCTGGAGGCAGTCCTACAATAGTTGCGTTTGTCATTAATAAATTGCCTGCCCCCCACATCCCTAATTTTGTGCAATCCTGAAAAATCAAATAGATAAAAATTGAAATAAATGCTGAAAAATAAATATTGATATTATCCATCAAAATTATTTTTAAAAGAATTCTGCTGAGTCTAATTATAACTGTAAATTGTCATTATTGATGCGTTTCTAATTCTTTTTTTGAATCCTGATAAACTCTTTACCACAGTCTAAATAGAAGGCTACGTCCAAATCTTACCAACCAGAAACCAGAACAAGGAAATTCTGGGCTCATAATGTATCCAGCTGTGTCAGAATTGCTGGGCATAAGCAAGAAACTGCCCCAAGCTAGTCTCAAATACCAAATATACCTCAATCCAAGATGACCCTGAATTTAAGACAACCATCTAAAATTAGATTCTATACATGGAAAATTTATTAACTTATTATAACTTTCCATATACAAATCTAATTACTGGAGAATCATCTTAAATTAATTCCTCCTACTGCTGCAGTGGGAAAAGAAGTGGCAGGGAGGCAGGCAGGCTATGGGGGAGGCAGTTAGCGGGCAGACAGTGGGAAGAAGCAATGCAGGGGCACATGGCAGGGGGCAGTAAAAGGATAGACAGTAGGAAGGCAGGTGGTGTGGAGGCAAGGGTGGGGAAGGCAGCTTTCCCCCCGTCCCCCACGACTTAGCTCACTTTGTGCCTGGCTCCCTGCAGCCTTGGGCTGCCCCCCCCACTTCTCTGTCTCTTTCTTCCCCCCTCCACCCCCTCCCCACCATCTTCCCTGTACTTCTTCTGCCCCCCTACAGCTTTGGGCT